GCAATTTGAGAAATTTTACAAACCGTTAAGAATTGAATTTTCTTTATTTTAGGAGCATATCTCACATTGAGTTAGTAATATATTATGTGCAATATCTTATTTGTTAACTTACATTTAAATATTCCATTAGATGGTAATTTTTGAAAAAAAGTAATAAAAACCTAGATCATTTTTTCTTCTTTTGTATTATCCTAATCAAAATTACCTGCTGTGTTGCTGTTCTTGTTTTTTGTATTACTATGAGTAGTATTATGATATGAAACTGAATAACTGTTTGGCTGACGAAGAATTTCAAACTTGCCCAAAAAGTTGGCAGCATGGAATTGGTTAAAGCTTTGTTTTTGGTGAAATATTAAATTCTTGCTTCTCATCCAATATATTTTTTCCCTTGTCGTCATTGTAAATAAAGCCATTTAAAAGTTACAACAATAAATGTAATACATTTGTCAATTAGTAAACATTTCAACATTTCATGTTTTCTAATTATTCATCAAAAATTCAAGCACTGGAAAAAATTATGCAAATGTAACAGGACGTTAAAAGTTTTCATTTGCAAAAATTTATGACTTCTTACAAGACTTTAATGAATAAATCTTCGGTAATTATTGTTTCTTTATAGTGCCATAGTGAGTGGTAGTTTGATTCGGACATCTCGAAGATGACTTTCCAGGATGGTATGTGCATTTGAGCTTCTCCAAATGTTTGATGTTTTTTGATAAGTAAAAATTGATAAATAATCCTTCAGAATGAATTAATTAATGTAATTGATTTCGAAATCTTCAACAAATCTCCGATTTTTAAGAGAAGCAAAAACCGTATGGCTAATTTCCCATTGATTCCTGTCCTATCAAGAAAAAAAAAGAAAAAAGGCAAACTATTGATTAGGAAATTTTAATTCTTCTTGGAATTTCTTATCAACAAATGTGAATCAAATTCAAAAAGACGCGTAACTTAGAGGAAATTCACTAATGCTTTGTTTCTCTTGGCTGTTTAAATACTAGGAAACCAGAAAATTTTCGCTTTCAAAAGAGAAAAGGGAAGAGAGGGAAATGTATTTTATTTCAAAAAATTAAGATAATAACCTTGCGAAGGCTATAAGAGCTGCAAATGAAACTTTGGCAAAAATCAAACAACAAGAAAGGAATTTCTATAAAATACACGGAAGACATGAAAATGATTTCCTGAATGATTTTATTTCCGTATGTTCGAAACCTTTTCTTCCTTTTGCTATCATACTCCCAATGGGACGAAATTCCTCATTACTCATCAAAAATTAGTTTATATTCTTTATCAGCTATTAAATTGAAACCACTAATCATCTTTTCTCATATGATCATTACTACCAGAATGTGACATCTAACATATAAATAAATTTCTAAACTTACAAAAAACCTTCCACTTCATTTCAAGAAGATTACTTTATCCTGCAACGTTAATTAAAGGTATAATAAAAAAGTAGTAACAACAGGTAAGCAAACGACGTGAAGAAATTGTGTCAAAACAGTTCATGAAACGATTTGATCAATTAATTTCCGATGTAAATGTACAATTGGAGACATTAGAAGCCAAAACACATGCTGTACCAGAAGGTCATTCACGTCAAACAAGCGTTGTGCACACTTCTAGTGTGGGAGAGCTTTTTGCGCCAAAAACCGATGAGGAAAATGTTTCATCAGGCATAACTTGTCTTTCCTTCATTCGTTTTAGAAATAAAATATTTTGGAAGATTTCTAAATTTCAATCATGATTTAGCAATCATATCTTTAAATTAAAATGGAAAGTATGTCACATAGTATCAGTACTTGAATTGTCATCTGATACCTAAATCATCTGGTAGTTTAAATCAAGTCTTTCCATTCTAATTTAACATTTATATGACTAACTGATGTATTTTCTCGACTTATTTGATGTTTCTGGAAGGAATATTATTGCCATTATTGGTTTGGTGTCATTTAAATCGAAGTACTTTGTTTACAATTTGAAGAAATACAAATTAAAATAAGATCAAAAAATTCGGATGACACAAAGCAGATGACAAAGATATCATTCATTTCCAGACGTGTCTTCATCAGAAACCGATTTATCACAGCGTGATTCAAATCAACTTGCGCAAATTGATATCGAACTGACGCAATTAGAACAACGTTTTGATAACATCGAAATGCGTATACAAGAAGATGTAGAAGCAGAAGAAATTGGCATCGAGGTTTTTGGAATTTGTTTAGGAATTTACTTTCAGACTTTTTACAACAAGAAAAAAGCTAATGATAAATGATAAGATGATAATGATATAGGGAAGGAAATATTTTATATCATAAAATACAGGTAAAATTG